TTGTGCTAAATCGTTGTGCAATAGCTGGCCAAGTCATTTGTTTCTCAAGTTCTTCCAAAGAAAATGTCTAAAATGAAGGTGAACGTAGTCAAGGCCCAAGCTAAATTGCTCTCAATTGCAGAATCCGAACCTCAGTAAGCAATGAAACTAAATGACTGAGACAAGAGATGGAATGAAGATCGCCTAAATAAAAGATTAGTCCCCGTCGCATCACTAACGTCACAATAAGTGGTCGTAAGAAAGATGGTGGAATGATTATCTCCATGCTCATCATTAGAGACAACCTTCACTCTGTCGTCGAGTACCCTTCCTACCTTGGACAATACGGCTACAAAGAATGGCTGGAAATCCGCTAGGCCATTCAGCACTCAAAGTCAAGGCATAAGCCAATAATGGAAGACATCCTCAGCGAACTGGTCAAGAAGATGTGCAAATTTGTTGTTGTACCTACAAAGCCAACGTTGAAGCAAGGTGGAAGAAGAAATCCTTTTGATCCTAATGATGGACCAACTCTGAGAAACGAACATGAAACAAAATTCTCCCTGGAGGAAGTCCTAAAGGATTCGAAGAAGCCAAACATCTCTATGCTGAACCTATCTTTGCCAGCGAAGGGTCCTTACCCAACTCTGTGCACCTAAAGCCTGATTTTGGATTCATATTTCTCGATTATGATGGCGAACACAACTTTCAGAGAGTGTTTGAGCTCCGTATCTGTCCTATAGAACATCTAGATTATCTAAGATATTGGTTGGACAATGACCTTTATGGTGAGATGATAGACAGCAAGATCAGAAAATAATTTATACGTCGAAAGATGCTTGGAGAAGAAGTACCTAGTTACATCGACTTCAGCGACTTAGACTAGTTAAAATTTTCTATCTTGTAAATCTTATTTTTCTATGCCTTTTCCTTCAGTGTACAACTTATATGTAATAAGTCTAGAATGTGTTGTTGTAACACTTGTATTCCTCCTTTTTAATAACATAAGTATTTCATCAGTATCACTGAAAAAAGATCCCTGAAAAGAGTAATAGGGACACATGTCTATGAGTTCCGGTTTGCTCTTACATTCATTGACAATTTGCAGTCAGTGAACATGCTTTCAGTTTCAGTTTTCCTTCTTGTACTTTTTCTTAAACTTGTAACTTAATAAAATTTATATAGTAAAACTGTATCACTGAAAAATCTCCCAAAATAATTAAAAGGGACCATGTACTTTACGTGTAACTTTTCCTTACTATTATACCTTAAAGTAATTTTCTTTATGTTTCTTTGTCATCATCAAATAGGGGGAGATTGTTGATCCTCTCTCTCATTGATTTGATGATAATCCCTTTTACCCATCGAAGTATTATGTTTTCGTCTATTCAATTCCAACGATCATCACTAAGTATGTTCAATGATCGCTGAAACATATATTGTAATTCTACAACAACAGTTATACTTCAAGAAGACAAAACTCACACCCAAGAACCTTTAACAAATGTCGAAGACTGAAACTGAAGATTAGTGACTAGTGTGTTCGTGATCTGAAGCGGTATTCAGTAATTACAACCTGGTCAACATATGTGTGAGACTACACAAGCCTCAGTGAATGCTGAAGAGACGTCTAGCGTTATTCTAGCATTCATCGATCAAATAAAGCTTGTCATGCACGATTGTTTTTGTCTTGTCCTTCCACACACAAAGAACAAACCCATACCTATGGGTGGCAAAAAATGACCCAACCCGAACCCAACCCAGAATTAGCAGGTTGGGTTGAGATTTTCAACCCATTTAAATAAATGGGTTGGGTTGGGTTGAATTTTTTTGACCTGTTTTCAACCCAATTAAAATATTATATAAATTTATTTTATTTTTAATATTATATCTATTTTATTTTTTATTTTGTTTCTTCTTAAATAAATTGGCCCAATTTTCATGATGACTCTTCGATTTCAATCCCTCAATAATTAATTCTTCATACGCTTCATTATTAATCAGTATCATGAGTCTCGACGCTTTGCCTTAAATTCTTCAATCTTCATACGCTTCAATTATCAATCTTTTCCCCTTCTTTTGAGTTCTACTTTCTCCAATCAAAGATTTGGGTTGGTTTCAGACTTTCAGTTTCCGATTTGAGGTTAAGGGCTTGAGGCACTGTTGAGCGATAGCAGAGTAAGTTCTTTATGATCATGATTGTTTAGTATTTTGTTGTTAAACTTCGTATAGATCATATGAATTACATGCTTATCTTTGATTATTTGTTACTTTATGACTCTATCGAACTTTAGTGATTTCTTTCAAGTTTGAATTTGTTATTTGTGTGGTGTGGCTATCTGTTTTTATCACTGTACCTATACCTCAGAGAGAATTGTTATCATTCGTCTTCATTGAGATAATTATACAAGCTACATATAAGTTGTTTTATACACATGGATTACACTTGCTGATGGACAAATGGTCTTAGGATTATAGATACGAGAGTGAAATTGGGGTTGATGAAAGTGGAAGTCGAGTTACTTAAAATTTAAAAAAACTTTAACTTTTTTTGAACAATATATTTGTTGTGGTTGTGTTTTATTCAAACTTTAAACAATTTGGTTGTATTTGTGGTTGTGTTATGTTTTATTCAAAAAAGTTAAATACTCTAGTTCTTTTTTTATTTAAAATTTTAAAATTAAATGGGTCAACCCAGGTTCAACCCATTTATTTAACAGGTTGGGTTAAGAAAATCGTAAACAGATCAACCCGCTGTCAACCCATTAACCCAACAGGTTCGGTTGGGTTGAAAAATCTCAACCTATTTAATTAAATGGGTTGGGTTGGGTTAGAATTTTCAACCTATTTAATAAATGGGTTGAACCTGAACCCAACCCAACCTGACCCATTGCCACCCCTACCCATACCCTCTCAAGAGTATAGTACTGCATGGAGCCAATTAATCGACTCTAGTGCCCACAAACTTCATGAAAAGATGTCTGCTCATGAATAGACAAAAATACTATTTACTGTAGCAACAGACAAGTTTTTCTCTAAAAGCTTGACGCGTGTTCTACCTCTTTTGAGTTGCATTTAGTGCAAGGGATATAAATATCTAAGTGCTTTTTTCACTCATGCAACGTTGTGATACAAGCAAGTTAGAATTTCTCTCTAATTCTAAGACACATATCCAAGAAGAACATACTTCTGTCTTATCTCTTTCGGCAAATTTCATATATTTGCTAACTGTATATGTGTGTAATTCTAGATTGTTTTAGATATGTTTTTCTTTACCTTGTCTATTCTGCAAACAATATGTAAAAACTGTATTGATCTTTCTATATCAATATATATTAAAAAATGAAAGTTACTGTGTTTGTATTCACCCCCCTTCTACAAACTGATCACCTCTAAACTCTTGTAGATCCGGCTGGAACCAACACCCTTAAACCACAGACTATGGCCTCCTAGATAGTCAATAAATTACACTATGAAATAATGTAATTGGAATCAACACTTTATTGAGAGAGTTCTTATAAATATGTCTTTTTGTACTCTGCTCTTCCAGGGAGAATCGACATTGGTGATGCACCAATTCTTGACGAAGTTCGACCAGTTCCACATTTTGAAGTTGATGGTTAACTTTGTCAAAGATGATTCAAGAAGCAGTCGAATATTGAAGATTTTCACCCCTTTTTTATAACGATATTTTGTCATCGACTTTATTCTAATTTTAATAATTTGAATGTTTTGAAGTTTTTATTTTAGTTGCCATAGTTGATTTTAACTTTAAAAATGATATGGAGTGATTGGATATAAAAACCTTTAATTTGATTTTTATTACATCAATTGGTTAGATTTTTAGTTAATCTCTTTTTTTTTTATTAAATTAATATCTTTATTACATTAATGGAAAAATGAATTTCAGTTAGTATTTGAAGAAATTTTTTCAAATCTTTAATTTGGTATTTTAATTTGTTTTTTTTTTGAAAAAACGAGATATGCCATGTCAATTTTATCGCATTAATTTTGAATTTATTTTAGTTGATAATTTTTAAAATATAATGTGGAATTTTAGTTTTCAAAATAAAAAAAAAAAACTATGTTTTATGTCAGCATAATGATTATGTGGAATCTTTGATGGCAATTTTTTTTGAATGATGTCATCGTTTGCAGGTCAACAAGTTAATCATACATTTAAATAAACGAAAAATTTGTTGTAGACTCTTACATGACGATTTTAAAAGTTGGTTCCATGAAATAAAAATCAAGTGAAAGCTGGTTTCATTTTAATATTTTCTTTGTTTAAACGAAGTTAGAAGCAAGGACTCGGGCGCTATAAAATGTAATCACAAGGACTATTTTTATTTATTTTACTTTAAGAATAGAGCAATTTGAAATTAATTAAAATAACAATTTTGACCGCATGGTTTCACATTTTAGCATTTCTCTCCTAGAGTTATGAAAATAGCCATAGATTCATAATTGGTATATCTGTAATTTATGAAGGGGTCAAAATGTAAAAAAATATAGAAATTTTGAACCTGCAATTATATGGACCAATTATGTAAATTTGAAAAAACGCCTTGCCAACCTATTACACATTTAATCTATGTAATTACGGACCCGGTCCAGAAACTTCATTTTTTTATACTTTGGCACTTCCACAAATTGCTAACCTACTAATTACATTTCTATAACCATTTCTCATAATTTTTAAAAAATTACTATTTTAAGAGGTGTTTGAGATTGTTTATTTAAAACAACTTATGTTTTTTTTGTTGTTGTAAAAATGCTTATTAACTTAGGTGGTATCAAACCAGAGGTAAATAAAACAGGGTTAAAATTGTAAACTGACAATAAATAGTTTTTTTATAAGTCAAGAATAATTAACTTATCAAAAATAATTTATTACCAATTTGATACCGATATAAACAATTTTTTTTCTTATTCAAACATCAAAAAACTTATGACCAATATCAGACTAAAATAAATTTAAAAACAACTTCTATAGGTAATCCAAACACCCCCTTAGCCATACAGACCAAATTGTAATTCATTCGATAATTAATTTTCGGGTATGGGAACAAACTATTAATAAACGGCATTCAGCGGTGAAGCAAGAAAAGATCTGCTGCTATGGCGAGTGGTGCCGGAGGGAAAGTTTCGTTTAAGGTTACCCTCACCTCTGATCCCAAGCTTCCTTTCAAAGTGTATGTAACCGATCGCCTTTTTCTTCTTTAGGGTTTCGATTTTTCTGTTTGATTCTGTATACAATTTTTATCGTTAATTGTTTTGCTACATCTTGCTATGTTTTTAGGTTTAGCGTTCCAGAGGGAGCTCCATTCACTGCTGTTCTTAAATTTGCAGCCGAAGAATTCAAAGTTCCTCCTCAAACTAGCGCCATCATCACCAACGGTAACTCACTTGGTGTATTTATGTTTAATATCATCCCCTAGGGCTAATGTTTTTTCATTGGCAATTGATTCTTGGTACTGTTATTCATCTAATTTATGAATTTTCTGTGCTTATGCTTTACTCTTGCAATTTGTTACTTAAATATAATGTATGTCCCGATTAAAGATCAGAAATTTTGTAATTATGTGTTATGAGTAAAAGAAGCCTTAATCTCATGTCTAAACATGGCTATCTTCTGTTCTAACGGCTATAAAGAGTGACTGGATAATGGAAATGGTCTCAGAATTGAAGAATAACGTGGTAAAGGAAGAATTAGGGAGAGAGAATGTTTTTTTCTGTGTGTATTGAACTGGCTGGTCTTGATATGCCCCTATGTCAATACATAAACCCGAGTAACAAGATATAAATGTACATAACCAAAAACGATGTATTCCTGCACGTTTTGAAACAAAAATATCTATTAATTTTTCATATTCAACATTTGTTTAATATTTACCTTCGATACTCAAAATTGCTAACCCGTTTAACCTCTATTAAGTTATGATGGATTGTAAATATGACTTCAACAACTTTAATTTTGACACACTTGTTTCAATTATAGTCAAGTCCTATGCATCCTAAGGCTCCTAGATTGTAACCAGACCACACTGTGTTAGAACTCCAAAGCCACATTTTTTTTAAATTTAAAAACTATCATTGTGTTTTGTTGCCAACAAAGCAAATAAATGTGCAAAAAAGCAAATCAAAATTAAAGGAAACAATTACAAATTAAAAAACCAACAAAAATTAAACTGTGCAAAGTGCAAACAACAATATTTACTATATTTACAGACTAAATGAAGTACATATAACAAATCAACATTTTGTTACAGTGAAACAATAAGTTATATCAATAACCAAACACATTTTTTTTATTGACCTGGATATCCAACCCGCTATGCGAGCCGACTAATTCCAGGGCGACCACCTGCTTTGCAGATAGCCCGGAGCCACCGCATTTGAACCTCCGTGGCCACAAGGGGATTTTTATTCCTCCTTGGATTTGAACCTGGGACCTCCTGGTACTTTTGACCTTTGGAGCCAAGCTCAAATCAATTAGGCACCACCCTTGTGGTTAACCAAACACAAATTAGGAATTTAGAGTTTAGGATTATGAATAGTTTCATACCCAGATACAATTGAGGATCGATGTCACGAACCTTAAACCAAATAACCCATCTTGTTAAATGCTTGTTGAAATCGAAATAGAAATCATAATTAATAACCAATGAAACTATCGTCAATTCGAAATAACCATTAAGTTAACCTAATCCAGTCTATTAGATTTTAGAACCTATTACTCAATTAACGTTTAATGATAAAGATATAGAACAATTGAGGGCGACACGAGGCAGGGGCCAATGGACGTCTTAGATCCTTGCTTCATAGCTGTTGTTTTTGGCTGGAATGGAACGTCGCCTAGAAAATCGAATTAAATTAGCTTGGTTGTTGACTTGTTTGATGATCGTATTACGTATTTATGCGGCTTTTCTCTAATTAAATTAGCCACTAAATTGATGCACCGAGAGGCTTGGGTTTGGGCATGTTTATAGTTGATCATTAAACCAAAGCTAATAACACATAAAAACGTGATGCCCCTTAGCTTGTAATGCCCCGTGCGCTTGCACGTGGTGCATGTGGCGAGGGCCGGGCCTGGTCTGGTATCGAATAAAGAAGAGAAGCAAGAATTATTATACATAAAGAGAGAGAGACAAAGAGGTTTTTGAGATTTAACAACTCTCAACAAAATAAATAAAATAATAGAAGTAAAATACTAAGTATGACATCGATTGATTGAACTATAATCCAACATCCCCCCTCAAGATGAATGCCCGAGGGATGTGAAACTTGGACCAAAGGAATTGAAAGCGAGTAGTAGATAGACCATTTGTAAGGACATCAATCGAGCTGCTAAATGGTAGAACATATCATACCATGAGAGAACAAGAGAAAACCCTATTCTTAATGAAATGCAATCTATATCTAGATGTTTTTTTTGTCCAGATTAAGTACAAGAAAAGGGCAACTAAGTAAGAAGCGCCAATACCGTCACAGAAAAGAGTAGGTTATTGAATACGTGGTAAACATAGCTCATGGAGAGAAGCCAACCAACACACCTTACCTACAGAGCACGATATTATGCCTCAATGCTGGAGTAAGCAACAATACGTTGTGTCTTGGAGCTCCGACCAATTAGGTTTCAACAACAAAAAGACAATATTCTTTAGTAGATCGTCTGTCATTTGGATATCTTGCCAAATCAACATTAAAATAGGCATGCAGAGAGTCAAAATAGGCATGAAGAGAAACATTTGAAGACCTCCGAATAAGAAGCCCGTATTATAATTAACCTTTACATAGTTAGCAAAAGTTTAATTAATGCTTGTATTTTAATTTTCTTAGTAGATAGTAGGTTTCATACAAATTTTCTATATTACATGTAGATGCAACATATAGTTTTATTTCTACATTGTATATATCTTAATCTATGCTGTATAGTGGTGAAAATACAAATTGCGATTGGGACCGAGATTTGAAATAGCGGTTATAGCAGTGCAATAGCGGTGGTATAGCGGTCCAAAAATAGCGATTCATATAACATTTCTTAGAATTATATATAATTATATATATATAATATGCCTACATAAACATCATTTGTAAAATAGGAAAAGTGTTCATAAACGAGCTAATCACAAGCAATAGGTTCAGCATCTGAGTCAACATCATCTAATACGTTCACTTCTTCGTTTAGACTAGCTTCCCACTTTTCCCTTTCTCCCTCTTCATCTCCAACGTGATCATCATCATCATCCCTAAAGCAGAAGTCGTGGTCGTCTAACAGTCCAAGTGAGAAACCTAGTTCTTAAAAGCCTAAAAAAAGCCTTGACTAACTTAACATAAGCTAATTAATATCGAAAGCCCAAGACTGAAAATAAAGCCCAAACCCACCAAAAATTGCATTAATATTGAAAGAAATTTACACTAAATATTGGTCAAAATTACGGTAAATTGCGCCGCTAATTGCGTTACCGCAATTTTAACCGCAATTTTAACCGCTGATATTTTGCAAAGGTCTGCTATCAGAGATATCGCCGCAATAGCGCCGCAATTAATATCATAGATCTTAATAAAAGTTATTCAATTTTTTATATAAAAAAATAATATTTTACAAAATAAAGGCTCATGAAAATCTCAAATAAGATTATAATAAGAAAAATAGATTTTATAGTACTTTTTTAAAAACAAAAAATATTTAATTGAAGTATTGAAATTTTTAGGAGTTGTTTTATTGAAGATTCCATGATAAAAATGGGATACATTATGATTTTTCAATTCATGATGGAATAAAAAGAACAACCTCTGTCATGGAATGAATATCAATCAAATAAAAGGAATCACATTTCTTGAGGAATTGGTTCATTCCATCTCATAGGTTTCTTCTCCAATTCTTCATACCAAATGTTGTGTAAATCTAAATAACCAGGCATAATATGAGAAAGAGATCTTGTAATCAACATAGGCCTTTCAAATAACGAACAAAAAAAATGTGACATCAGATTGTAGGGTTGATTAAAATAACTTCGATGAACAAAGGAAGGATCTTTCCTTGAAAAATGTTGTGGTTATCACTTGATCATATCCTTCAAAATGCTCTCGAGTTTTAATTGTATAATGCTTTTGATCTTTAACTTGATTTCAAAGTTGCATAAACAATTTGTAGTAATATATTAAATCCATTATTTTATACTTATATTGCAGATGGTGTTGGAATCAATCCTCAACAAAGTGCAGGTATTGTAACATCTATTGTTATAGTTAATACATGCTACTATTCTATTACAATCATCATTGTCACGTATCAAGCTTCGACAATCGACTATTTTGGAAATAGTCCTAATTTGCAAGTTTGCCCTGCAATATCACCTACTTGGGTTTACTTTGTTGATTCTAAGTTTTGTAAAGTCTATGTATTACATGTCATTACAATTAAGATTTACTACTATCTTAACACATCTACATGCTTATATTATATATAATTCATATTGTCTTTATCATGTGGATGTTGTGTAATATACATTTAAGTATGCAAAATGTGAACCATTTTTTGGTGGTAGTTAGTATTATAATCCATAGAAAATTTTGGCTTCTAGTAATGACATAACCCAATGAGAAGGGTCCTCATAGCATATCATGTCTTGTTGTAATCACTTGCTAGCTAGGTAGGAGGGTGTGCTTCTTGTTGAGTTCTCATATTGGGTGCTTTGGCAAGGTGCCACTACGTGCGGTGTTGACTACAAATTCATGGGGATATGGGGATCATGATATACAATGGACGATTTTGATCTTTGTTTTACAAGAAGATACTAAAAGAAATGAAAATTTGCAATATGCAAAATTAGAAACCAAGGTTAATATCGAAAGACAACTTGAGTTTTATAATTGTTAAACACAAAAAACCAAAAGACAAGTTATTTGTTCTAATAATATGGATTCATATGAACATAAAAGTCATAACTTTGCTTTTATGTTCATATGAATCCATATTATTAGAACAAATAACTTTTCTTTTTGTTGCTTTAGTTTTAGATTGTATGTGAGACACGCACGCGTGCACACACACAAACACACATATATATGATATATATATATGTGTGTGGGTGTGTGTGTGTGTGTATATATATATATATTACAAGTGCACTCTCGTATTAACTTCTTAAAATCTCCATATCCTGGTATTCACGTGTCATGCACTAGTAGTATCCCTCGACAATTTGCAATAGAGCTTGTTGGTGTAATAGAATCAATAACATCTATACTTTTTACATCAATACTAGTGACGAGTATATGATGACTTTTGAGTTTATTTTTTGGATTTTTAACTATGGGATCTTGCTGTCCTTGGATAATACATATTTGTCAAGTCATTGCACAAAGGGCTTGTGCATGGCTATTAATAGAGGTGCTGGAAAGAAGCCAATTGGAGTTCTTCTTTCCCTTGTTGACAAGCATGTTTTATACTCATTGTAGCATTGTGTGAATCATGTTCATGAACATTACATTTTCTCTTACTTATTACGTATGACATTAACATGCACCCCATTTGATATAAATAGATATAGTCTGGTTCAGGTTTCAATTTTATCACTCTGCAAATAATTTCCTAGTTGTACAAATCTCTCAAATTTTCCTATGAATTCTTTTGATCATCTTTAGTATCATGGATAGGTAAGTGTTGAAATTATAATCGAATTGCAACATACTATTGGAACACGTCAAAGAGTTATTTAATCAACAAGGGAAAATGGTCATTGAATTTGATTATGATACAAGTTAGATTGTTTAGCATATTTCTGTAAATATCAATTGATTGCTGTTGATACAAAAAGTGCCTAAGTTATAGATACCAAGAGTTGTAGGTTGTTAACCGGTTAGTGATGCGTTTTTTATTATACTGTTTAAGTTTGCATTGTCATTAATATGCTATTTATGATTATAAAAGTATTATGCAATTCTAGGTCCACAATTGGCCAATCTGTTTGTAACTTCATGTTCTTTTCACTTATGGGTTCTTTTACTTTTTTATTTTATTTTATGACATTTTGTATAAAGTAGATTGCCACATGGACCTCATTAACATATGGTCCTCCACCTTCTATACAAAAGTCTAGGAACTACAAGTGAGACATGAATAATTGTAGATGAATTGACCCTCAGAAACCTAAGACCAATGTTTTCTGGAAGATGATGTCAATTTCAGTTAGTAGAGGCAGAAAATTGATGATACATTTTGATATATATGAAACCTTGCAACACTAGAGGTAAGACCAATTTCTTTGATTGCCTTTTTAATCAAGTGGAAAGGGACTATTATGACGGCGTAAAGACTTAACCTAACCAAAAGATGCATTACTGAGAGTTATACATATATGCAACCTTATCAATTCCATCAGTCCCACCATTTCATTACAATCACCTACGGTATCATTATCTTATTTTCATTGCCATCTTTATTTTTGGGGTTGTTTATCAAATTTTCTATCAAGTCCGGTGTGGATAAATGTGTCTGTTTGGATAATAATGTGTTGTTGTTTAACTTTTTTCTTGAATTAACGGCCTGAATGATAGAAAGGATTGTTTTACCCTTGAGTATGGATCATAACTTGTTTAGTTCAACTTTACATATAACATCAATTCATCAAATACATGGTGTGCATCTATCATCATCCAAAAGATAAACTTCAACACCAATTTATCATCAATTTATACAACCAATTTATAATCGTTGATTGCTTGAGTCCATACAAGAATCATTGAATATGAGATAAAAACCCTCAAAAAACCTCAAAAGACCTCATCATGGACAATGAAATATGAATGTTGATCCATATGTACCAAATCCTCAAATAACCAAGTTCAAATCTGTAAATCTAACAAGATATCAAAAACTAAGTTTAGATCTTCCAACTCTTAACTCAATCAAAATAAAAAACTCAACTGTTGATGAACTACACATGCAACCCACCCACACACCATCTGTGAACTCCAACCACCCAACAGAATCACTTGCAACCCAACATCCCATTTCTCGAGCTTTCATCAGAAAAAGAAAGTAGATCTATCAAAATCCATGAGGATAAAAACCGAAACTCAAAAAAACCAAAATTGACTTCAAGGAGAGATCTTTCTCTAGATCCATCTGAACCCTTAAATCTACACACCAAATACACATGTTGGAGGGAGGCAAAGGCCGTTGCAGGTGGTCATTTTGGGGAGGAAGACGAAGGCTGTTGGGGTTGGGCTTCAAGTTGGAGAAGGGGATTGCCGGAAAAATGGTGGGAGAAGTGTGCATTGGCGGGAAGGGGATATATGCACGGTTATTATTTATATATTAATAATATGTGTATATTATATTAACTAGTTGTGTATCTAATGCGGCGGGAGCCGTGAATTTTGACGATTTTGAAGTTTCACTGGTTTTATTAGAGAAGATTTAACGATGATATAAGTTACACTTGGTCTTTACGTATTAATACAATTTGAATAAATAAGAGTTATGGTTCCAATTACAGTCTATTGATGAAAAAAATTGTATGGCAGTTTAAGATCCAATATATTTAAAATCCAACATATTTAAACGACCACATATGTGTTCGATTTACACCAAGAGCAAATAATCAAGAGATTGAGAGAGAGACCGAGAGTTCTAGAACAATTGAATGGGAGATGAATGAGAGAACTTTTAATAACTCATGGTAAATATCAGTTTGAATCTCACATTGGGGGATGTGGAGAAGACATAGAGGTATGAGAGGGTGAAGACATGAGTGAAAGGTGTCAAAAGTATTTGGGAACATGAAAAGAAAAAAGTAATAATGTGCATTGGTAACTTGTATTATATGTTATTTTAATTGTAGATTAAGAGATTTTAAGATTGAATGCATAAAGTAGTAGTACTTAATGCATTATGAGTTGTTTTTAAGACTTTTAAGACTTTGTGCATAAATGTATAGTACTTTGTGCATTAAAAATTGTTTTTAAGACTTTTGATAAATTTGGTTTATAAGATAGTATAGATTATTGTATAAAATGAAAATGAAAGGAAAAGGAGAAAAAGAGCAAAATGCCTATGAGTCAACATATTTTTTTAACAGAGTTAGGGTAAGGGAGCTAATCTATAACGAAAATGAAACAATGAGGACCCTAATCATGAATTTTAGGGTTGAGGGACCCTTTTTCATAATCGAGATGAAACCACAGGGACAAAATTTGTGATTTACTCATAATTCTACTATTTCCGTCTATTTAATTATTTCAACATAGAAAAAGTTTATTCAAATTTAAACAGTAACCAGTTTTAGATTTATCCCCTGAGATTAGTGCTGAGGGTCAAGTATGATTACCTTGTTAAATCCCTTGTCCAAAAGGTCTATACTGATCAAAAAGACAAAATATACCCACAAATTTGGTGACCAGTCACAACTACATAACTTTTCTTAAGGTTTACATAACCAATTGATCATAAAAAATACACAGCAGAAATACATACAACTTTTTCTATTACCTAATTTATAGGAATCAAATCTGAATAGATAAGACTAGGAGTGTACCTGCCGGATTCAGCAAAATGTAAAATTCAATTGTAAACAGAAAATTGAATTGTTTTTAATTTACTTATGATTTTTTGTTTTTTGGAAATGGAGCTATTGTGAGTGGAGCTTTCCAATTGACCATATATTTGGGAAGGGTAGTAGAGGTTTCCAAAAACTTTCTTTAACATTTAAAGAAGGGCAAATTAGGAATATTTTAGAAATTGAAAGATTTTGTATGCATTAATAATTTATACCTGATGTTTTATAAGCTGAACGCTTGAAAAATTACAAGTTTTTAAGGAAAAAAAACCTAAATGCTTTATAAAATACAGTATGTATAATAGGAATTAAATCTGAATAGATAAGATACTTTTTATTAGCCAAGTTTCATGAAGAACTACTACACCACTTTCTCCTTACCCTGGCTTGATGCATTTTGAATCATTCTCTAAACCTAGAACTGGTTAGAACAAGTGTCAATGATAACAGTTGGCATTTGTAAACTAACATGCAATACGTTGGAAATGTGAACATGATAGAGGAGATGGCAGCTTAGCTGTTAGTGGATGAAGGAAGAGATGAAATTAGTATTATTGTGTAGATGTACAGGTCGGGCATTTATATATACATGTTACATGTTTGAAATCCATCTTTTGACCAAGGCAATTGAAGAAGTTGATAACAATCAGACATTGCAATGTGTTATTTGTGCAAAATTATTCTGGGTTTTATACTTTGCATTCATGCCGTCAATTGTTACAAGATCTACTACCGGTTAATGTTCAAAAGAAATAGAAAATGGGAAGAATTGAATGTTCCGTTACACTAATTGAGATAAGAAAATCATCATCACACTAAATAGAAACTAAGCCAAATTTAGTTGCATTTTGGCCTTCAAAATACTGGATACTTTGTGACCGTTTAGATCTTATCTCCAAGCGTGAGTTATAATTTATAGCAAGTTGTATGTATGCCCACTCTAGGTACTAGGACACATGCTATCTGGTTCGAGACACAAAAGTCTTGCTTATTGTCTGACTGTGCCCTTGGATTCACTTTGAATGCATTTACGCTTCTTCTCTTGCACGATATCATCATTTTAATACATCCATCCTGGTCTGGTTGCATTTCACGTGACTTCTGGTAACTGGCACTACAACAAAGTAGGTCTTTTAGGACCTCAAGGTGTTTAATAGAGCATCTAATGGGATTTTAACTTTAAGAGGACCAAAAAAGAGGAGTTCTGTTCAAAGGCGTTACAACAAGTTGCTAGGGCTAGGATACCTAACAAGTTCTATCGTCTATAGAATTGTTAGGTCACCTAACTCTGTGTCAACAACTTATTGTAACGCCTTTAAATATGATACAGTTCTCAGACCTTGGTCCTATAAACTTAAAGTCCCACTAAGCACTCTATTAAGACGGCTGGGCATCCTTAAAGATCCATTTTGTTGTCTTGTGGTATGATACAGCATCAGGCTCTCGTGTGTGATTGTTTAGTGTTATCATGGTTGAAATTTTAGATGGTGTTAATAGAGCATCTAATGGGATTTTAACTTTAAGAGGACCAAACAAGAGGAGTTCTGTTCAAAGGCGTTACAACAAGTTGCTAGGGCTAGGATACCTAACAAGTTCTATCGTCGATAGAATTGTTAGGTCACCTAACTCTGTGTCAACAACTTATTGTAATGCCTTTAGATATGATACAGTTCTCAGACCTTGGTCCTATAAACTTAAAGTCCCACTAAGCACTCTATTAAGACGGCTGGGCATCCTTAAAGATCCATTTTGTTGTCTTGTGGTATGATACAGCATCAGGCTCTCGTGTGTGATTGTTTAGTGTTATCATGGTTGAAATTTTAGATGGTGTTAATCTGATACGGGTTATTTTTTGACAGGCAATGTGTTCCTGAAACATGGCTCGGAGCTACGACTAATTCCTCGTGATAGGGTTGGCGCTTAATGGGCTGGAAGATACTGTCGATGAGAATTATCAATAAATACTGTTCTGCATAACTTAACGTAAAAGGATGTGATGTTTATTCCTCCATTCCAGATCATTTTTATGCATTCTGGTGGCATGACTACAAAACAATAGCAATTTGAGTTGATGCATTTACTCTAATACATCTAAGATGTAAGCAAGGTTCTAAATAACGTGAGGTGTGGCGTGGCGGCGATGTCAAAGCCTTCAAGCCTTACGAGTTACGGCGAGGTTATGGCATTTTTCAAGGCGTACCCACCCTTGTGTGTGTTAGTGTTTTGAATAATACTTTCGAACAAAGTAAATTCATATAAAGTAATAAAACTAAAAAGAAATAAGAAACATTGATAACAAATATATAGAGCTTATAGAAAATGATACCAATTCTTAAAGAATTCGTGTTTGACTTTTTGTGTTTTGACTTTTTGTGTATGGAAATGTCAGTAAATATTTACCTATTTAAGGTTTTAGTTTTTAAGTTTCACTTTTATGTTTATTTAAGTCATAGGTCTTATACATAATTAAATTTCTTTCTTTTCACGTATTAACATTTGTTTCAAAAACTTCACCAAAGTTCATATGTGAAACCAAAAAGTGAAGGAAATAATTAAGGTGGTTTTAGCAAAGTTCATATGTGAAACAATGATTTTTGTTTAAAATAAATAATGTTGTTTTGTGTTGAATTTTGGTTATTCCAATAGCATTGCCAAAGTTCGTAGGTGAAACTAGAAAGTAAAGAAAATAATTAAAGAAGTTTAAACAAAGTTCATAGGTGAAACCAAAAAGTTATATGTGAAACAATGATTTTTGTTTAAAGTTCATACATGTTTTTTTGTTGCAAGCTTCAGGTTGATATCTCGATATAAATTATCTGCATAAAAAGAGAATCAAAGTTGAAAGTTTCAAATTTTAGTAGGAATGAGAAAAATTGTGAAATGCGATAATTAAGTTAACAAGATAAATTATGGAATGTGATAATTAAGTAAATGAGATAATTAAGAAATATAATATCAATATATAGAAAAGATGAAAATACCGTTGTTTGTAAGTTAATACTAAATACATGGTTAACAAAAAAAAAGTCGTCTCTCTCTCTCTCTTCCCCCTCTCAGAAGAAAGTTTAAATAAAAATCAATTTTTTATTATAAACCAAACGAGAAATCTTGATCTCCCATCTCTATTTGATCCAACAACTCATATTAAATAATTTTTTTAATTAAAACTATTGATTAAGACTAGGGGTAAAAAAGAAAGTCCATTTCAATTACCCTTACCTTATTTGCCTTTTTATTTTCTTTTTAATTAAAAACCTTTATCCCATAATTTCTAAAGTAAATTATATTAAAAATTATTAGTATTTTAATCAAAAAAATTGCATCAAAAAACAAGAATTTAATTATCTTCAATATGACAACCATATCGATATAGTTTTTTTTTGTCGTTTTAACCGTTTTTACATGAAATGTTATATATGTGTAATATTCCTTATGAATATTCATGTATGAATACAACAACTCGACATTGTAAGTGTGAAACTCGACATCACATTCTTCAACACTTTATTCAACGTCGTTATTCATCATCGTAACCTAACATCCATTGAGACCGATTGAGAACCCACCGAGATCGAGAACCTATCGAGGCAAATTGAGTCCATCGAGACCAATCATGAACCCATCTAGATCGATCGAGAACCTATTGAGGCAAATTGAGTCCATCAAGGCCATTTGGCGGTTTTGTTGATTCTCTCTCTCATTGATTTGATGATAATCGCTTTTACCTATCGAAGCATTATGTTTCTTTCTATTCAGTTCCATCGATCATCACCGAGTCTGTTCAGTGATTGCTGAAACATGTATTGTAATCCTACAACGACAACTACATTTCAAGAAGATAAAAATCATACCCAAGAACCTTCAGCAAATATAGAAGACTGAAACTGAAGATTAGTGACTAGTGCGTTCATGATCTGAAGCGGTGTTCAGTGATTACAACCTGGTCAACATATGTGTGAAAACTGCACAAGCCTCAGTGAATGCTGAAGAAACCTCCAGCGTTATTCCAGCATTCAACGGTCAAATGAAGCTTGTCATGAACGATTGTTTTTGTCTTGTCCTTCCACACACAAAGAACAAACCCATACCCTCTCAAGAGTATCGTACTGCACGGAGCCGATTAGTCGATTCTAGTGACCACCAACTCCATGAAAGGATGATGCTCATGAATAGACAAAAGTACTATTCACTGTAGCAAAGGACAAACTTTCCTCTAAAAACTTGACACGTGTTCTACCTCTTCTGAATTGTATTTAATGCAATAGATATAAATATTTTATAGCATCATCGAGACCATTTGGCGGTTTTGTTGATCCTCTCTCTCATTGATTTGATGATAACCGCTTTTCCCTATCTAAGTATTATGTTTCTGTCTATTCAGTTCCATCAATCATTACACTATATAAATGAAAGTTATAGGGTTTTAAAATCATCTCATTTGAATCTAACCAAGCAAATGGTTTCCCTATTATTTGTATTAGTTCTAAATGCCCGCCAAGAAGAGTACCGACAATAATATGTAGACCTAGGAGAAACCAAACTGGGTCTGAAAATGAAACAAATCCTCTGCCAGCAACACAACTTGCTCCTAATGTGATGGTAGTTGTCCACCAAATAGTTAGCGAGATGCTACCGAGTATTATAGCACATATAGTGGAAGCATTACGTCAGACTAGCAAAAACCCGAATTCTAATACTGGGAACTACGGGCCAAAATACATGGATCATGAATTTAGTAGTGAACTTGTTAATATCCATCAATGGTTGGAGAGGTTTCACAAATAAAAGATATTCCGAGTCTTGGGTTATTCTGATAGAATTAAGTGGAACTGGCCTCTTACAAACTTGAAGGTGATGCTAATCGTTGGTAGCAAACTTGGAAGCAATACTAAGAAAGGGACATAATTGTTGAAAATTTAACCTGGCCGGGATTCAAAAATGTTTTCTGTCAACAATACTTTACTGCAGCTGACAAAGAGGCGTATGTTCAAGAGTATACTACACTCAAATAAAAAGAACATGAATCCATATCCGAATACGTAGCCAGATTTCCTTGAATGGCTAGTTTTGAGGGTACTATGGCGGGTACGGTGGAAAACCAGGTTAATAAATTCAAATGGACTCTCAACAGCTAATTCAGACCCAAAATTATCAATCAACACTTCACGAGCGTTTCCCGGGTTGTTGATGTCACGAGGAACATTGAAAGAGAACGACTGGATTTTGTACTTTCCCGAGGTGATATTGGTACGAAAATAAATAGAGATGTGTTTCAAGAAAATTTTAGTGGACAAGAAACCAATCGGATAGGTCAGATTGTTTTATTTGATATAGGTGTTACACACTCGATTGTTTCTGAAAACTTTGAAGAAAATCTTAAACCGTATGAACAATCCACTGAGTTTCTGTTACACAATACTACTTCTATAGGTAATTCAGTATATATACTGGGTCAATTCCCAAACTGTCAGTTGTTTATTGGTGATCAAATTTGAGAGGTTAGTTTACTTCCAATGAAAATGGATCACTTCGATATTGTGACACCCCAAAATGAGGTAAATAAATAAATAGAAAGCAAAAAGAACAAGGAAAATAAAATAACATGATTTTTATTTTATTGGATAAAAATATAAACATATTTGAAAATCGGATTAAAAATGAAGGAAAATGTCAGATTAGGGGTAAAATGTGTAAAGTTGTCAAAAGTAATAAAGCTAGGGGGCCGAATGCGTTTTTATGATAGTTAAGGGGTTGGGTCAGATGTTAACAGGTCCAAACCAGAAGAACCTGTTTGTAAATATACCAGATCTGCAATTTTTTAGAAACTTGAAAACGACAACTCCTTTAAAGCTTTCTATTAGTTCGAATTTTCAACTATTAAGACAAAAAAAAAAAAACAGATGTACGTAGCCAACACTTTTCTCTACACTTTTTTTTTCAAGAAAACCGAAGTTTCATCGGGTTTCGAAAGAAAAATCAGAGGTTGAAGTTCGAGTTCGGCTCCGTTTATTGGCGATTGGAGGTAAAATACTCAACCAAATTTCGAGTTATTTATATGGTTAGCTTCGTTTTTAGGTCCTCTATGAAACCTTAGTAGCCTTATGTCTCAGATTTTAGTTTTGAATGTTCGATTTCGAGTTTTTTTATGATTTTCGAGTGGTTTTTGGAGTTGAAATTTAAGTGCGAAAATGAGACTCAATACTTGATGATTTTTGTTGAAATTTAAGTGCGAAAATGTGCAAAGAATTTGAAAAGACGTTAAGCAGTAGATGAATCGACGAGTTTCTGGGTTCGAAGAACAGTCGAACAGCAAAAGTTCAAGATAGAGTTTGTTTCAAGAAAATCGAACTACTTCAGACAGATCGTATCGATTAAGAAATCGATTTGGCTCTGATACCACATGTTATATCCCTGATCTGACAGTAGAACGATTTACACTAGAGGTTTGTAAGAGTAAGTAAACAAGAAGATTAAACAGAGAAATAGCGGCTGCTTTTC